CCCCCCACCTCTCGATAATGATAACTATCAAAATGCCTGCCAATTGAAATGAATGAATGATGGTTGCAGCAACTTATCCAGACTCGAGGTTATGAGGAAAAGGACGAAGTTAATTACATAGGCAACTGGATATGATAAATTCAATCATTTTGTACTTTATGCACGAAGAACGAAATCGTGTGGAATTTTGGAATAGGGCATGAATGTTCGGGAATGGACTGAGCACATATAAGGTGATCACCAAGGCGATACATATATTCAGATCGTTGATAACAGGCGTCTAACCCTGTGAACGGATCCAAAGATGGTAAGTTTTGCGTCATTCAAATAAATCTAATCAAAATTGTAACAAATAGTTATTATTTACTAAAAGAATTCTCAAAAGGCCAAGTAAATGTTGCGTTGAAAAAGAGAAAATCTATTCCAGGTGTATGCATATTAAAAAAGCGGTAGTCAGCCGAAATTCGACATAAATTACTGTAATAATCCCGATAGGTCGCAAATTAACCAGAATACAATACGCCAATGTGATAAATCAATTAAAAAATGATGAAGTAAGGCGTAGGTAACTACACGGATACGTTTATTCAAATATAAGTTCATGAGAGCCAAGGAGGCGCAAACGGTGCTCAAAAATCTGATAACCATTGGCAGACTAAAGAGCGCCTTTAAGAGTAGCTTGAGTGTTTCCTTGGCTTAATTTTTACTAATGTAACCTTTCATATCCAATATAACGTCGAGAGATCAATGGACAACTTACTAAATCAGTGGGCACGAGTTTAACGCTCATCGGTAGACACTCAATGACGTGGATGAGTAAATCGATTTTGGTTAGCCTCGTGTATGGAAAGATAACTGAAAAAGGGGTAATAGATCATGGGGAAATTATCTCTATTCTTGATGAGATACGGCCATTTCAATGTTTGAGTTAGAAATGACAGACTTAGTATGTAGATATTTAGACATATCATTCTGCTGGAAGCTCGAATAACTTAGATAACACACAAAAAGCTGAGTATTTATCTAAACAGATTAGGAAGTACACTTGTCAAAATAAACCCCCCCCCCTTATGTGCTGCCCCTTTTTCAATAATAAACATGCAAAATAAAATAGTACTCATGTAAATATGAGGGTAAGGGGGGGGGGGGTAATTACGTGCCTCCTTTTTGCGTAAGCGGCTGAGACAAGCAGCTTGACGGTTCTTGATCATACGTTCCTGCTTCTTAACCAACTTTTCAATGCTCTCCGTTTCAGTGGGTGGAGAGATGACATGGAAGGAGTTAGAGAAAGTGAGATCGTCGATCACCGGGAGACTGACCACAGAGGGCAACAAGTGGGGTTTCTGTTGTTGCTGCTGGGGATCAGAGATACAAGCGGTAGCGGCGCCCGAGGAATCGGCAATCTCTTGTTTGCTTATATTAACGGTAGGGGTAGCAGTGTAGGAGAAGGGCGTTGGTTGGACGAAAGTTGGTTGGTTTGAGCTGGCCACCATGAATCTACTAACGCCCTGAAATTGATGCATTTGGATTAAAGACGGCCAAAACACCTTAATTTTTATTCGTCGTAGATTGCATGAGGTCAAAACGTACTATACAAATGGGAAAGCTAGCTGTTTCAGTAAGGAAACTGCTGATACATAACTGGATGAGACAAGTAGATCAAATAAGTCTAGTTGGGAGAAGAAACTGCTTTATTAAAATTAAAAATTGAAATCAAGTAGAGTAGAGTAGTAATAAATTACCATGTTCATACAACAGATTTGTAAAAGAAGAGACCTTAGGAATGTAAAATAAGGTATTAAAACCATGGAGCTTATTATCAGCTACCTAAAACCCATCCTTGTTTATTTTCAAGCCAACAATAGATAAAATCCACCCAAATATGGCTTGGCAACTATTCAAATAGAGTATTAAAGAACAACTCAATACAATAAACCTGAAATTCCATTGACATAAATTGGCATGAACAAACAAATACATAACATGAAGAGAATTATTGGAAGAACAAACTTGAGATTGCGTTAAGTATAACTACATAACGTACAAGCAATCAGCAAAAAAGGTTGGCGTAAAAATAGTAAGCATCAAACATCGAACCTGTGCCTTTACATGACGTAAATTGTCTTTATGTCACCTCATTAAAAACAAAAAAAACCCTAGAGTGCAAGATAACTACACAAACACAAATGATACATCTAATTGAAAAAAAGATAGACCAATTAAACCTTCTTGAAATACCAAATTCTGAACAAGGAAAGCCTAAATCAAAACGCATAAACTCATGATCGAGGTTTTGGAAGGAATGTAAATTTGAAATGGAATAAGAGACAAGATGAGTAAGATTAGGAGATTATGGTATTCATATATAATCTCAGCCATTTCGCCCGAGAGTAAGGTGAGGGAGTGAAGTTATTATTAATAAATGTCTTGTACACCAACGTGCTTCAAGTACAAAAATGGGGAAAACTGTGAATCAGTAAATCAATAGTTTAAAAGGCCCATCTTACACTTTGTCCTCTCGAAAGGATACGAGGCATTTTCGGGGGCAAATGGTGATTGATTATCTCCCCCGATTTAGTTTGAGAGGCTGGAATTTGGTGAATGGTTGCTGTAAAGTCAATAGAAAGTAGACAAATTAAATGAATAGAATGAAATAAAAGGTAAAAAATGTTTTGTAATCACAGGTAAAATTCTGAGGTTCCAATTTTGGGGGAACGGACCCCACGGAAATTGTACGGCTGACACCAAAAGAAGATGAAGAGATTTGCCTACTAGTCACAGGTGCAAACCCTGTAATAAGAGGCTCTTGTGGTCTAGGACGTTTCCGTTGAGATTGGGAATAAGACGCATTGTTAGAGAGGACGGAATCAACTGCATCACTATTAACCGTTGTAGCGGAAGGGAGGAAAGACATTTCAGATGAAAAAGTTGACTCTGGAACGTCTACATTTCCTAGCTCGACGTCGCACAGAAATGGATGCTTATCACCATGATCTAAATATTAATAATTTGGAGGTCTATATGGAACAGAGAACAGCAAAAGTAATTAATAAGTGAACACGTACTACTGATACCACTATCGCTATCCGAGGTATCAAGAATATTTTCTCCCAGCACCTCGTCGGGCAGATTTAGGTTATCAAAATTGATATCTTCAAGCATATTCGGCATTTCAAAATCTAGAAAAGTCATGAAAAATGTTCTGTCTTACTGAAAATCTCATCATTGCTTCCGTCGAAAGCAAAAGAAAGCGTTTCGTCTGAGAAATCAACGTCAGACAACATTTAATTAGGTGCTGAAAAATAGCAACAACAATATTTGTTGAAAAAATAAAAATGACGAGTGAAGATCATTTTAGCAAAGTAGTACAAAATCAACATAGAATATTAAGGGGCCCTAACATTTAAGACAAAGCTGGTGATAGATGTGACACTACATTCAATTACTAACAGCCGTTTATACAAATCAGAAAGCACCACCGACTACAAAACGAGTTGGCAGATCAGACGCATTAACTCACTTCAGGGTCAACGTTAAGCACCTCCAATATATTACAGTGAGAAAGATCTACATGGATTAATTAATAAGTACTCTAATAAACATTTAATTTATTTAATGAATTTATTATATGTTTTCATATTGCTTCGCGCTTGTTTTAGAAATATATTGCTATAATTGGATTTTGATTTTCGTTAATGCTCATGTGGCTTTATTAATATATCTATTACTGTTATAACCTGTACTTTTCTGTAGTACGCCGTAACCCACCGTTTATATATTTATGGAAGATTATTAGTTACTTAAATGCTTGAAACACTTCTTAAAAATATTTATTTCGGTAAAACATAATTAAGTAATAAATATTGTCAATAAAACAGATGATAAAATTTGAAAAAGTACATAATGAAAAAAATTAAACCGAAAAGTTTCATGTCAACAGTAAACGAGCATAAAACCACATCTACTTTGAATCGCCAAGCATAGACATTTATTCGATTCTGTAAAATGCACTGTGAAATGTGGTTCTGAATTAGATATCCCTTTCTGAATTTCTAGTGAATTAAGAAACCTACTGCGCTAAAATGAATAGTGGCGATACATGGAAGGAATAATATCAATCACTCGTTCCGCTAAATTACCAGTTATTATGGGCTAGAAAATGTTAGACAAATTGACAGTTAAATAAAGTAGGTTTACAGGCGGATATTTCTTTGTGACAGTCAATAAAGAGCATCAATCAAAACATAATTTGAAAGCAAAGGAATAACGTGAATTCAAACTTATTTGTGAATACACTTATAGATAGTCTTGGCCAAATTTCTTTAAAATCACCATGAGAGTTACCCCGTCGAATAGTATTTACTTGGAAAATAATTAAAATGACTAAAGTTCATTTGGAACAATTTCTTATTCAAGAACTTTTACTTAATGCTACATGTTTGACAATGAACAATTTCTGAATATGTATAATAGTTTAAATGATATCAAATAACTGATTGACTGGGTTTTAGTAGTAGAAGAAGCAACGTTTAAACTAATGGGAACTAAAGGAATGGCTTACACTAAATGATTAAAATTTTGAGGAGAAGGAATGATGAACAAGTGCTCACTTGAAGTGACGTTATTTTTATTGAAGCACGAAATAAGAAGATAGTAGTGTGCTTCGGAAATTAAACAAATTTATGGCTGGTCATAAGATATTGATACCGTGTTAAAGAGTGATGAACACTATTAATTGAATTTCAAGCCTAAATAGAACAACATGAAAAGGTCTGAAGGGTATATAAGCGAGTAGATTAAGTGAACAGAACCATATATAATTCAAGCCTTTTACGAAAGCAATTTTACGAATTTTTGAATGAAACAATAATGCAACTATTAGAATGATCTCAAGCAAATATGTCCAACAAGACGTTTCCTAATAACTTGCTTTGGTCCCAGTGAAAAACCTTTTCTCTCGTATCCACTACAACTATAAAATTGGAAAAATCGAAAAATTTTAACCCAAAAAGGAACTACCCTAAATTAGGTAGTAGCAGATCAGAAATTTTTATAGAAGAAGCCAACTCAGAATTAAAACTCCTTTTCCAAAAATTGAAAGCAATTAATTAAGCAAAATTACATAAATATAACTTTTAAACATTAAAGCATGTTTTTAAATGAAGGCTTGAGTTCGATATTTATACATGTTCTTTTAATCAACCGCATAGAAAGCTCTCATTTCATTAAGTTCACGCTAGCTATGGGCAAAAAAGGTGGGCAGTCGCGTAATGCTAAGCAAGCTATTACAAATCAACCAAAGCCCAGCACTCAGGATGATAATGTAGAAGAAAAGATGGCTTCTACTACTGATGGAGAGCTTCCTGGCACGTCGACCTTAGTGAGTCACAAATTCGCCGATCTATCTATCTCCGAGTTAATCAAGAAAGGTATAAGCGACATGGGGCTTACTGATATGACCGAAATTCAATGGAAATGTATACCTTACCTACTCGAGTGCCGGGATGTGATGGCTTCAGCCAAAACTGGAAGTGGCAAAACTCTGGCTTTTCTTATTCCTACAGTGGAACTAATTTTGAAACTCGGCATGCAAAGCAGAAATGGCACGGGCGCTATTATAATCTCTCCCACTCGCGAGCTTAGTCTGCAGACCTACAGCGTTTTGAAAGAGCTTACTGCTCATACCCAAATACGTATAGGTTTAATCATGGGAGGAAGCAATCGCCAAGCTGAAGCGCAGAATCTTCAGAAAGGTGTTACTATTCTTGTAGCAACCCCTGGCAGGCTCCTCGATCATCTTCACAATACCGAACACTTTCTCAGGCATAACTTGAAAGTGCTCGTTATTGATGAGGCCGACAGATTATTGGACATCGGCTTTGAATTGGAAATGGAACAAATTATTCGCCTTTTGCCAAAAGACCGTCAATCAATCTTTTTCTCAGCCACACTAAATGAAAAGACTCACAAATTAGCCAAAACAGCCCTTAAAACCAATTGTGTAATGGTTGGAGTTGAGGAGAAAGAAGATGCCACCGTTGAAACTCTAGAACAAGGTTATGTTGTCTGTAATCCCTCTTCAAAATTCTCTCTTCTTTACACTTTTCTCAAACGAAATAAAGCAAGAAAGGTACGTTTGCTCTCTATTAGTTATCGCGTCGCGTTCTATTAAATGACAAGTCTATTTTCCATTCCAGATCATGGTATTCATGTCATCTTGTATGGAGGTTAAGTTCTACTATGAGTTGCTAAACTACATTGATATGAAAGTGATGGCGATTCACGGACGTCAAAAACAAGCCAAACGAACAAGTACTTTCCTTAGTTTCGTCAAAGCTCAAAGCGCAATCCTCCTTTGTACTGATGTTGGCGCTCGTGGTCTGGATATTCCTGAAGTAGGTGTTTTATTTCACTTTTTCTTTGTTTTGTTTGCTGGGGCAGTTGAAGCTCTTTGATTAATCAAATGAACTTCTGATCGTAGGTACTTAATACCTCGTTGAATCCTTTCATTCTACTACTTTTACCTTTTCAGAGAGTTAACCTCTGCATCACTAATTTAATTATAACTTAATCGTGTACATGCACCAAGTCATCTCGAACTGATGACCTAGTAACAAGTTTGACTATTTGATTGGTCTAGATGGGAATCGAAATTACATGCATATATTATGATATAAAGGCTTTCTTATATCTTGAATTAATTTCGTATCTCATTTTAAAGATTTTGTGGTTTATTCATTTTAATTCTTATGGAAATAGTAGTATTAGTTCCGATTTAATCTTGTTTATAGTATTTTTTAACCTTTTTATTATTATTTCAAATGGCAGGCTTTATGATATTTATCATTAGCCCTTAGTCTTTGACTTCAGCTTTTCCCATGGGTGGGGGAGG